GTTTAGATAGTGAGAACTACGATTTAAAGACAGAAGCGGCCGAGTACTATTGGATAGAGCTAGAAACTGCTTTCTAGTCACATGCAAAATTGTAGCAATGTGCCACAAAGTAATTCAGAATTATGAAATTGAACTATGAAAAACAGTGCGAACTTTCCTCATAGATTAGTGCACTTGGTTTTTCGGTGATGGCATTTTGTATTCGAAAAGATGACGGCATCCAGCGAACTTGAGAAGGCTTATTAATATTCTCTATCATAAGAGAAATCAAAAACATGGCATCTTTGAAAGCAAAGATCAGGTTTGAGCTAATGTGCAAATTTCGCTTCGAATGTGGAAGGAGGGAAGCGACGTGGACTGAAGGTGGAGAAAAGAAGGAAAGAAAATCGTAAAGGAAGGCAGGAAATACGAGCGTTTTTGCTATACGCAGCAGGGAAGCCTGAGAGGCAGCTACGGGAAGAGCGATAATGTAGGTCGCTGGGAGGGTAAAAGAAGCTCAGGTATAGAAAGCATCGGACCGACATTGCGACACAGATGAATTGCGGTGAGCGGCCACTGATGGTGGAATTTGATCGAAGTCCTTACACCTAGCGTCTTATGGTTAGTGAAGCGTTTCGATATGCGAACGTGGCGCGACCTCTGCAGTAGCGGACAACAAACCGCTCAACTTCACTTAGTTTGAGCCCAGACCTTGCCCTTTAGCTCACTAATTGTAAGTGCCGTCCCTCTCAAATGTCGAGTATGGATAGAGGGCAATAGGACTGTGTATGACAAGGATGTCGAGGAACGCATCGTGCTCGAACGCCGGCTACTATCGCCGGAGTTCGAGCCTCGTCTGGCGAAAGTATTTGATAACATTCAAGTGGACGACTATGATGAAGTTTTGATTGAGCCGTTGACTTTATAACTGGAAAGACCCGGTCATGATTTCATAAGTTTTGATAAAGTTTCACTTTTCCCTATTGGGGATGAGAAACAAAGTGGCTTTTTTGCGATGAATTTCTTATGCGACTATTCAGGAAAGTCTTTCAGAACAAGGAGCGCTTTTTCGAAACAGTTTTCTGCATGTCACAGAGACACGCGCAGGGAGCATAAAACTGAGAATAATTTTTTCTAAGCGGCTCTGGAGAATGCCAAAAACATGTCGAAACCATGGCTTGTGGTTCGATCCCCACTGAGGACAAATTTTTGCATTTCTCTGATTTCCACTTTCTTGGGCTCATATATGTCTAAACTTATTCAGTGAACAAAAGCTTCCAAAATGCAACTACTCAACTCTACAAATGCTGTAGATTTATTGAAAATGGAAAAGTTTCACTTCTCAAAAAATTTTCTGCCCTTTTTGGCAATTCCAGGGCCGCTCAGAAAAAATGATCATCAGATTTATGCTCCACGCACGTGCCCCTATAACATGCAACAAACCGTTTTGAAAAAGCGCTCCATGTCCTGAAAAACTTTCCTTGTAAGAATCCTTCGTTGGTGAAATTGTGAATTGCTGCGTCGCCCTTATAGTGTACACGAACTCCGAGCAGCTGAATTCTAGAGGCAACTTTACAGCTATTTTGCAGCTACTCCTCTGCAAAGAAAATACCACTGGAATTACATGGTCCAGCTCTAGTGCGCTTTCTGTGTCACTAATTCGGCAAAATGGTGTTGGAGGGTGCCACTCAATTCTGCTCTGAGGCTCTAACGATAAGAATCAAGTAAGGGAGCTGATATCGCTCAGGGGAAAAAGCTTCGGTGATATTTCATTCAAAATTTTTTGATAAAGACCGGCTGAATTAGCATGGCGTGGTGTGGGAAAAGGTCCTAGCCAACGGCTGAAAATTTTTGTCTTGGCCAAGGGGAGAGGGGAGGCCGGGGACGAGCTCCACAGTGGGTGGACAACTGGAAGTGCGCAAAAATGGTGGATGTCAACGAATTAGGGCATTAGATTAGTTCTTATCAATAAGTCCTCAAAACGAGCCAGTATTCATGCTTACCGCTAGCAATATCCTCGAGTAAGCCCTACTTCGAGCCTCAACGTGAAAGCCGCAGAGCAGAATGGGACGGCTCCCTTCAACTCCATTCCCGCCCAGTGGATCTTTTTGACTGTACCTATGAAGCATAATCGATGATCCACACCAGAACCCACCATATCGCTCTGAGCTTACTTTTTTCGACCAACTTTGCTAGCGAACAAAATTGATTCATGTTGAAATATGTATAAGGTCTCGATGTGTCGACATTTCTTTCCATTTGATGGTTCTTTGGTTTAGTTCATAAAGTTTTGCAGAAGTATGTACTCAAATCAATGCCGCAGACAGGGCAGGCCTGCGCAAAAGCCCTTCCAGTTAGAATAGCCGGGATTTGAAACATCAAAATAAAGGTGACTTTTGGAACGAAAATGATTCTTGATCAACACATTGAGAAGACATCGTTGTGTGCCCATCTTTTTGCAAACTTGCAACAATAGTATTATTCACCGGAATATTTCGATTATTGGTAATGAGGTACTCTCAAATCCAACAATGACTAAGGACAGTTTCTAAACGAAAAATGCAGGCACGAATTATGCAAAACGAGTCTCTCTTGTGTAAAGGTGCGGGATGTGCGTTCTGTTGGCAATATGATAAAGCTAGAGCTGGGATGGATCGGGTTGGTCAGTTTTTTGAATAGAAGCCAGTGATGTAACATAGGGACCCTTTCGTCATTTCTACACTCAACCAGCTTGCCTTGACATCGTCTTCGAATGTCCTTCCCAAACAGGTCCTGTTGAATACGTATCCATAGACTGGCATCACGATTCCAAAACTGTGACTTTATGCAGTCGGAAAAAATCATATGACCATTGAGGCATGCCTCAGGTTGTCAGCTTTACTTGCTGAATGCAACTTCTGCGCAAGCTCGACCTTGCTCACGGTTCGACGACGGTGAACAGCACTCTTCGGAAGTTCTACCCTATCAGGGTGGGGTATGTCTCCTCCGCAAAAAAAACCCGTGGACCATCAGAATTCCTCAAACATGCTTCATTGCAGGTTTTATGCATTTCAAATTGTACTTTCCGCCGAAGGATTGACGCATTTACTTAAGACGTATAATCTAGTCTAAACTGCCATTATCAGGTAGTCATGAGCTCATGGTAATCCGGCTGATTGGCTGGTGGCTAATTTGCAAAATGTCAAGAAGCATGCGTGAGGGGCCTCTGAAACTTTCTGTGGATTCGCCCATCAGAAGGGGGTAAGTCATAAAGTCACTAAGAAAAAGTAAATAAAAAGTGAATAAAGTATGTGACGACGTGGGGGGAGGCTGCCTGGTAAAAATGAACGGCAACTGCGGCAAAGAATGTTAAGAATACAATGCTACATGTGGAGAGGATAGGGGGTTAAAGCGTAGCGTGGTCCGAACGCACATCGACCCACACCCTTAGAGGGCCGCTTGCCTTTTGACTAGGTATCCCTTTCTCCTGCCTCCGATCTAATTTTGAAATCCCCGTTAACGTTGCTAGTAAAAAAAATACGTCACATAAGCGCCGGTGTTGTCTAAAAATGCAAGTTTGACATATTACTAGAAAGTGCTGTTTTCAAATAAGAGTCAGGGTCTCATTATTCTGTTCTTTCAAATGTTTCAGTCTATGAATATATTATTTTCGGACCGACCATCTGCTTCAAATTTCGTTAGAGAACTTGTGAAAGGCAAACTTATATTCCCCAATCTTTCCTCATATTTCACGAAGAGCACGAATGTCGGTTTTTTCGGCAGACTCACAGTATTTTAGTAAACCCGGCATTACGTCTTCATTTGTCTCGTCAGAGAGCGATGAACTCCGTATAGGATGTCAGTTTTTTTAACGATATACGACACGAAGCTCGAAAGAGACTCACTCGTCCTAACTATCGTTACTGATACAGGATGTGAGCTCATCAACATCGCCAGAATCTTTCGAGCAAACGTTCCCGTTGCTGAGTTCTATGGGAGCATTCTCGACATGACGTTGGATCCATTTTCTGAAGGGGGGGGGGGGAGGGGGAGCGGGGGAGCTTGGTTGAGCCTCTCTAAAATCTGATGTTTTGAGCCATTCCTGCGAAGAAAACAAGGTGCCCCGGTAGCGTAACTGGTAGCGCACTTGCCCGGAAAGCGAGAGGTGCGGGTTCTAGTCCCGCCTGGGGCGAAAGTTTTGTTCACAACCCAGCATTCTTGTGAAATTGAGAAAATTTGAGGTCAAAGCGGTGAAAATGTTGGTCGGAGGAGGGGGACCTCATATCTATGTAGTAAATGTGGCTCATATCCAACCAGTGCAGAAGATCACTCATATTTCATCAAACATATCTTCACATCTTCCACTGGAACGGTGGCCTACGATCCCTACATCACACGTGTGACCATTCTCGTATTTTTCCACGGCAAAAATGGCTGCTACCTTGCCGTCGCTTCATTTTCGTCAAATCTTCTTGCGACTGCCATGCAAGCCCTCGAAGAAAGGGCCTTTCAGGTATCCGATTTTGTACGGAATTCGGGTTGGTATCCCTATCTAATCGTACCCACAGAGCTTGCTCTGAATGTTTGCTAAATGGAAGGGCCCTTTCGTAAGTCAACCTTGATTAGACCTGGTCACTTTGATAAGATATTACGAGTGCAATCTACATATTCACCGCCTAAACAACAAAGATTCCAGTTAACTGATTTGGAAAAAAGCCAAAGGACTGCGGTTTCACGCAGAGTTTACAGTCACCAATATTTCAAAATTAAGGTGTACCGCCGAAAACGTGAAAGGAAAGCGGGACATTATAAAGCATAGGTGTTTATGGAGCCAAAAAAATCACAAGGTATTTCTGAATTCGAAAACTCACTGATCTCGTTGGTGTTGGGACTGTAGAAGGCGTTGACGAGCGCAGCTCCAGCCACCCACCTGAAAGACTGCCTCCCATTTTCAGCTTTATTTCGATAAGCGAACATCTTTCATGAAGGAGATAGGTGGTAATTAACCCCCGAAACCATCCATTAGTAAGAAGAATATTTATCTACCGTTCTCTGTCCACCGGTTGAGCTATCCGTTCCAGCACGTCTCGTTGATATTGCTCATAAAATTGGAATTTGGTTTTGTAGTAGCCGCCATCGTAAACCTGAAAATCAGAGCTTCGAGTGAAGGGTCCGCTGAAGTAAGGGTTGAATCTAACCTTGAATAACCGATACTCATGATCTACTGACTTGGAGTCGTTCAAGTAGTCGGGGTAGCCGATTTTCTGCTTCATCGTATGCACCTACACATCAAACATCAAGCTATTTATGTGAAAAATATTAATAGAAGTGTACCTTTTGCTTTGCAAACTTTTTCGTTTCTTCGGTGAGCCAGTCTTCGGACACGAGCAGATCGACAAACGCTTCCATAATGAGACTAATCATCTCCTCGACCTGAATGAGTTACATTGAGCGTGGTCAATGAGAGGAAGCTAGGGGTGCAAGCCTACGATAAGCAGCCCTATCACCGGGCAAGGGTAGAACATTTGTGTGGACTTCTTGATCCCGATTTTGCTCAAGTGAAGTTCTTGAAGGTATACAGGGGTGGCCAAGAAAAAGAGACACTACATTTCACATTTCAGACAGCATAACCACATTTTGCTAAACTCTAATTGAGCTTCCCAACTTGATACTGAAGAGCACATCACCAAGGACACTCCAAGAATTTGTCATGAGAACCTCGCGCACGGTTC